ACCCAGATAATTTGGATATATAAAAAAAAAAAAAAAAAAAAAAAAAAAAGCCTTTTTTTTTTTTTTATAAAACAAATTTTTTTTTTTTTTTTTTTTTTTTTTTTTAAACTAACAAATTAGAGTTGTAATTTGGTTTTTCTTCATGATTATGTTTACTTATTTATTTATTTGTCCTTGAAGACCTTAACTGAGACAGGTTATGAGAGCTCTCACAAGGTAACGTGCTTAGCATGCTGTGAACGCCAACAGAAAGGGCCCACTCTAGCAGCACCCCAGCATTTGCCAGCACCAGAGAGAGCAGGTTTCTGTCTAGGTTCTGGCAAACAGTGCTTTGCTTTGGACTGGTTCCTTTCTTGCCCTTGAAAAACTTTAACAGGTGACCTCCTGCCTCACAGCATTTTTTTATTCAGTGAGCGCTGGTTCAGCCCTTACCATATGTCACACAGTCCACAGATCCCGGGGATGCAAGGATGACTAAACATGTCCTTGCCACCAGCAGCTCACAATCTGATGAGCTCAGATTTGCTGAGAGGGTCCAAAATCCACTGGCCAGAGCAGATGTGTCTGAGCCTGTGAAATGTTCTCCAGCCCTGGCCTGCATCACAGCCGAGGTGACAGAGGCACTCCTGAGTGGCACTGAGCCCTGGCCTCTGCCAGAGGTGGATGCCCGTGCTCATAGGCCTGCTGTGGAGTGTGAGAGGCTAACTACTGGTTAATCATGTGATGAATTGCCTGCCAATAGCCATGTTGTAGGTTCCCTCTAATATGCATGAGTTGACTCAGTATGAATTTTTAGCTGATTGTTTCAGTTTTTATTTCCAAAAAGTAAGCCATTTTTCTTTTTTTTTTTTTAATATTTATTTATTCATTCATTTATTTTGAGATGGAGTTTTGCTCTTGTTGCCCAGGCTGAAGTGCAATGGCACAATTTCGGCTCACCGCAACCTCCACCTCCCAGATTCAAAGGATTCTCCTGCCTCAGCCTCCCAAGTAGCTCAGATCACAGGCATGCACCACCACACCTGACTAATTTTGTATTTTTAATAGAGATGGGGGTATCTCTATGTTGGTCAGGCTGTTTTTGAACTCTCAACCTCAGATGATCCAGCTGCCTCGGCCTCCCAAAGTGATGGGATTACAGGCATGAGCCACTGTACCCGGCCTCTTTTTTTCATTTTTAAACTAATTTACAGAAACTTTGTGTAGGGAAAGTCATTCAACAAACCCATGGGAGGCGTGTCCATGAAGCTGAGCTGTGTCATTTCCGGTGCCTAAGCTGGCAGATTGTCGTAGGTGTGTTCTTTTTACTCCATATGTGTGCACTGTCCCTTGCAGATGAAAACCTTCTGGGTCTGTTTGGCCTTAGGGTCTGCTCCTGGTTTCCCTGTGCCAACAGGTGAGGCAGCTTTTAACAGCTGGTGATCAAATGGCAACATCTGGGCCAACAGGGCTTTTGGGAGCTGTCTCAAAAGGACCAAGCCATCGCCAAGCAAAACCCCCTCTTATACTGATAAAAGTTCTTCCCTCCCTCCCCCCCCCCCCCCCCGTCTCACTGTTGCCTAGGCTAGAGTGCAGTAGCACAATCTCGGCTCATTGCAACCTCCGCCTCCTAGGTTCAAGTGATTCTCCTGCCTTAGCCTTCCGAGTAGCTGGGCCTACAGGTATGCGCCACCACGCCCGGCTAATTTTCGTATTTTTAGCAGAGGCAGGGCTTTGCCATGTCGGACAGGCTGGTCTCGAACTCCTGACCTCAGGTGATCCACCCGCCTTAGCCTCCCAAAGTGCTGGGATTACAGGCATGAGCTACTGCACCCTGCTGGTAAAAGTTCTTAAATAAAAAGCACTTTCTATATAGAACAATGATTGGGTGGCAGGGTTACCCTCTGTATCTCTGTATTTTCTCAGTGGGAAGAAAGAGAGTTGGCCAACACAGGCAATCATGGGAAAGCAGTATTCATGGGAACTGACGGCTAGAATGTGATGGGCCCCCAACGTAGCCCCTTGGCTGCCTGGGCTCCTGGGAGACAGATGGAATTTCCCAGTAGGCAAAGATTACATCGAAGAAACCCCTGTTAGAGAAAAGACTTTGAAGAAAGCATCTGACTTCGTGGAGAAGTTGGTTGCCTTGGCCAAGTGCTGACCTCATTCATCCCTTCAGTGCCCTCTGCTCTAGAGTGATGGGGCTAAAGCCATGCCTCCTCACAGGGAGTTCTTGCCAAACTGGGCAGCAGCTGGCTGGGAAAGGCATAAGACCATGTGAACATAGATGTTAAGGCTATTTAAACAAGAACACAAAGTTCTAGCATTTTGCTTTTTGAAAGGATAGTAACTAGAAATTGCTAGTTAGGAGGCCAAAGAGATTTCTTTTACAAGGTTAGGATAGAATGGGGCTAGGAAGTCTTAAGCTGTCTGTGGGTACCTTATAGGATTTTATTTTTGCAGAAATGGGCTCCTGGTTTATGCTTAGGGATTTTCAGCCATAAAATGGGCAGAGCATGCTGGCCTTCTCTCTGGGGGACCCTCAGCCTACCCCAGAATCAAGAAACAAGATCTCATGAGGCTTCTTGGCCACCACAGTATGCAGGTTGTCCTCCGTGTGTGGGGGTCTATATTCCCAGCCACACGGAGCAGCTGGACACTTGCATTTGGCCAGAGTGCCATTCAAGCTCACCACCACTGTGATTTTCTTGCTGCTACAAAGGAGGGGTAGTCTATCCTCTCTTCCCCATATTCTCAGAGACTGTCCCTGGGTCATGCCAGAGCAGCTGATGCTGGCTCCCAGGATGGCAGGATAATGGCTTTGGAGGACGGTTACTACTGCATGGTGGTGCCATCAGCTCTCCCTGAGAAGTGCTTTCACAGCCAATCTGTAGCACTTGATGATTGACCCACTGTGAGCAGGATGTTAACTGTTCCTCTGTAAGTGCTCCTTCCCTGTGAGCACTCCCCAGGGGAAGATGCTGGCTGATCCTGGCTTTAGGAGTGGTGGTGGGCCGGGTCTATTTCACAGACACACTATAAATCCTAAAACCACCCATTTGAGTGGTCACCTGAAAACCTGAGTCAGGGCTGTAGTCTCTCACCCTGCTCTGATCTTCCACCTGTGTATTTTTCACCTTCTTCTTGCTCTCCTTGGTCGTCCTCCCAGTGGGAATCAGATATATACTGATGCTTCCCATCTGGCTTTGACAGTGGTTTCCAGGAATCCTTACAGAGTTCTAATTGTGTGTGGGAAGAGAGCGTGGGCCTGGGCCTGCAGGGAGAGATTGTTACCAGAGGGGAAAGGATAAGCTGCGTTTCGGGAGTGTTTTCTTTGAAATGAAGGTAAACTCGAAGTGTGTGTTTGAAATACATATCAACAAAGCTATGCTTTAGTTGGTAGTATTTAAACTGATCATAAGAGCTTCAGAAGAAACCCTCAAAAATTAATCTGGAGAAGAAAAGTATAAATGGTGCAGTTGTACCTGTCCTCAGCTGTGTGCTTGTAGCCCTCGTGGCATGTGGGAGAACATGAGCAAAGGCTCCCACATCCTGTGTGGGCCCTGTAGACAGTGCCATGAGAGCGGTTGGAGAAGGCCTTAGAGACACCGCAACCAGTGGAGCATGTGTTTGGGGTATGGACAGTATGTGTGTTCTTTGGAAAACTACTTTTTAGTAGAAGCAGTATCCAGATTGTGTTCTTTGTACTATATATTGAGCAAACGCTAAAATATGATGGACTTGTCATATACAGCTGAGGTTTATGAAATGTGTCATCTGAATGACTGTGAAACTTACAAATGATGTTTGCTGTGTAATCTTTCAGGAAATAAAAAAGTTCATTAAGGGGGTCTCTGAGAAGATCAAGAAAACCAGAGATAAATATGGCATCAATGATAACGGCACAACAGAGGTAATATCCCTCCAAGACGCATTAGAACCCCAAGCTGTTTGCAGGTGCCTCCGGCCCTTAACTCTGTGCTTGGCTTGTGTTCTTCCAGCCCCGCGTGCTGTACCAGCTGGACCGCATCACCCCCACCCAAGTAGAAAAGTTTCTGGAAACCTGCAGGGACAAGTACATGAGGTAGTGATGCTGTTGTCTTGGACTGACGGTCATCCACGTAGGTCTCATGTATCCCTCCTGTTTCCCCATGGGTACAAAACCCTGCACCAGTGCATTTGTTAACTGCCGGTATTTGATCAGATTCTGTCACATCTTCTCTAGGGAGTCTGATGAATTGCTAGGCTGAGTACTCCAAGATATGGAAATAATTGCAAGGAAATTTCTTAATGTCTTCTCCCCATGGGGAAACTGCTGATGAGTATGGCAGATGCCAGCTGCTCTGTTCGCCATCAGTACCATTGGTTAGCAGACCACTTAGATCTTCTGCATCCGTAGGCACGCAGAATTGAGTTGCACTGCTGCCCCCTCTGTGAGCATTACTTTCCCCTGTCTGCACCTATTTCTGGTCTATACCAGGCTCTTCCTCTGTCACAAGCATACCCTGGCCTATTGCCAGTTCCTTCCTGACCCTAATAGCATCTGTATTCTCTGTTGAAAGTGATAACCAGAAGCCTCTCTCCAGCAGTTTTACTGGACTTTTCTTTGTCATCCTGTATTCTTATCCATACTCTTGCCTTCTAGGGCACAGATGGAGCCAGGTTCTGCAGTGGGCGCACTGTGTGCCCAGAGCATTGGTGAGCCAGGCACCCAGATGACCCTGAAGACTTTCCACTTTGCAGGCGTGGCCTCCATGAACATCACCTTGGGCGTCCCTCGGATTAAAGAGATCATCAATGCTTCCAAGGCCATCAGGTGCCTGCTTCCTTTTCCCTCCTGTTCCACACATGCCTGTCCTGTTTCTTGAGAAGCAATGATCCTTGTGTCACATGCATATGTGTGACACATATTCTCATAGGACAGTGTCTCAAACTCTGAGTGGCATGCTTGCTGTGTTAGTCATATTCTGGTTTTTAAAAAAGCCACTCAAGAAAAAGTCTAAACTGGATACATTCAAAATAGAAGCAATGGTTTTCTATGGCTACAAATAACATGAAAGAGAGAAAATGTTAAAAACGACTAGAAAAATTGGAGCAATGTGTCAGTGGAGATTTCATCCTTTTGATGTCATTATTCCAGCCTAACTAGGCCTGACTGAAGTGTCTGCCACGTGGCCTGTGGTCATATTCTGTGATTCCTGGTGATTTCATGATGGGATTTTTAGTTGATCTAAGGCTAGAAGAAGTAGAAATGTATTACAATGCCTTTGATGACAGAAATCATGATGACCTAATTTTTTAAAAATGACAATACATAGCATTAAATGAAAGATAGCCATACTTGGTTGCAGAACCACAACCGTAGATATCCAGGGTGTTAGGAGCTCTGCCTGCCCCTTCTGGGCTGGTCAGTTTAGTCCCAAGAATGTGTATTCTGGGGATCCTGTCCAGAACGGTGAGGACAGAAGCCGATGGCCAGTGATCAGAGGAGTTGGAGGTGTTCCTGGAGAAGCAGTGTTGGGAGATAGGAGGGATGAAGGAAATTGTAGTATACAAAAGGTCACTTTATAGGCCAAGCATCGCGGTTCATGCCTGTAATCCCAGCACTTGGACAGGCCAAGGCTGGAGCATCACTTTAGCCCAGGAGTTCGAGACCAGCCCAGGCAACGTTGGAAGACCCCAAGTCTACAGAAAATTTAAACATTAAATTAGCCAGGCATGGTGGTGCACACCTGTGGTTCCTGCTATTTGAGAGGCTGAGGCAGGAGGATCAATTGAGCCTAGGTGGTAAAGGCCACGGTGAGCTGTGATCCTGCCGCTGCACTCCAGCCTGAAACAGAGCGAGATCCCTTTCAAAAAAAAAAAAAAAATCTGGGTGGTCAGTTTACACAGGGAACGGAACTAAAATAACTGCTGGTTATGGTTGTTAGGACCAAAGAAAAACAGGTAGGATTCACTTTCTTTTTCTTTTTTTCTTTTGAGACAGAGTCTCTGTTGCCCAGACTGGGGTGCAGTAGTGTAATCTCAGCTCACTGCAACCTCTTCCTCCTGGGTTCAAGCGATTCTCCTACCCCAGCCTCCTGAGTAGCTGGGACTACAGGCGCACACCACTACACCTGGCTAATGTTTGTGTTTTTGGTAGAGATGGGTTTCGCCATGTTAGCAAGGCTGGTCTCAAACTCTTGGCCTCAGGTTATCTGCCCTCCTTGGTCTCCAAAGTGCTGGGATTACAGGTGTGAGCCACTGCACTCGCCCAGGGTTCACTTTCTAAGGAAGAATTTTCTGAAAATCTTTTTGTTCACTTATGGAGTAGATTGCCTGGGGACCATTAAAAATAGTAAGTGTAAATGAGAATGTATGTGAACCCCTTAGCATACCTGAGAGTAAATGCTCAGTAAACTGTGGTTACTAGTAACATTACGATTCTAAATGGCACTTGGGTTTAACAAAGCAGTGGTCTTCAGACAGGCTTTTCCCTTGTGATAGCATCATTTTTCCTTTGCTTCTCAACAGCACTCCAATCATCACAGCACAGCTAGACAAGGATGACGACGCGGATTATGCTCGCCTCGTGAAAGGAAGAATTGAGAAAACCCTCTTGGGAGAGGTAAGAAGAAATCCCTATTGATAACAAGAAAACTAGCTCAGCAATGTGGCAAGGAAGTGTAAAAATCAGCTGCAATGGATTGACCAGTCTGTGGCGTCCACGTTATTCCAGCTCTTCAAAAAACGCAAGCCGTCGCATGCTCTTAGGAGAGGGGAAAGTGGCTGATGAACACTTTGATCTTTTAACACTCCAGATTTCCGAGTATATTGAAGAAGTGTTTCTTCCTGATGACTGCTTTATTCTCGTCAAGCTCTCCCTGGAACGGATTAGACTTCTGAGACTGGAAGTGAGTCACATAATTAAATGTAGAGAGGAAGTCATCCTGTTAGTCCCAAGATAGGTACTGATAAACTAGGGCAAGAGCTAAGCAAGACAGAGGAAGCATTGCAGAAGCTTCTGTTTGGTTTCTAGTTTTTGTAATTCTGTTGTTCCCTCATATTTTCTTGTTCTAAACCTGACTTTGATATAAATATAGCCATCTAAAGACTCACAGGAAATCAGTTGAAATTTTGTGCAGACCACAATACCAGTTCACTGTGACATGGTATTATGATAAGTGATCTTGTTGCTCTTCTTCCCAGTGTCTGGAAGGACCCTAGGGTTGGCTGTGTCTTACTTACCTGTGGGTCCTCAGTGCCCACCATGGCAACTAGCCTAAGAGGTTCAGTAAATGCTTTTAGATGGGGAGATTAACCTGGCTTCTTAAACTGGCATTCGTGGGAAATAGGTAACAGTTGAAAGATGATCATCAGCCTTTCTCACAAACAGACTGACATGGGGTGCAAAATGAGTAACTTCCTGACACCGTCTCGTAGCCCTTAAAACAGTCTGTAGCCCGTTCTCTCATGCACCAAGTTCGTATGTTACCCATATGACACTTGACTCTGAAGTGCAACAGCCTACTCTCCAGTCTGGGGATTTCTCTAGCCTCCTTCTTGCTGCCTGCCTTGTGGCTGTTTTGTAGAAGACCTGAGTTGTATCCAGGACTGTCGCACATGAACCATTGTGGAAAGGTCGGGTGAAGGGGAGGCCCCACAGAAGTTTTTAAATCAGCCTGGCCTCCAACCCCCAGCCTCCCTAGAGCTTCCCACAGAGGCTGCTGCGTGTGTTGCCATGAACTGAGCATAAATTTTCCAGGGCAAATATTTTGTTGTGGGTGAACAAAATCTCTTTTTATGAATAAAGCACAGATAATATACACATATAGTACATAAAACAGATAGGCAGTATATCTATGGCATTAATTTCATGGTAGGGGGCAGCTTAGAACAAACCTGACTAAAGGACTTCTTAGAGGAGCAATAATGAAAGAAGATGAAAAACACTCGAAGCCTCCAAACCTCTGTCAGTAACACCTACGCCCGGCCATGTTGCAGGTGAACGCTGAGACAGTGCGCTATTCCATCTGCACTTCCAAGCTCCGCGTGAAGCCCGGTGACGTGGCTGTTCACGGTGAGGCTGTGGTGTGTGTCACCCCCAGAGAGAACAGCAAGAGCTCCATGTACTATGTGCTGCAGTTCCTGAAAGAGGATCTCCCCAAGGTAAAACAGAAGCTGCTTCTCCTGGAGACGCAGCGTCTTCCTGTGGTGTGACACCCAGGGCTGGGACCTAAGGGCTTTGTCACTTAGTCCCATTTCTTCATTTCTTCTTCGCCTTATCCCCAAGGAGCTAGTCTGTTAGATTCCTCTCTGCTCTGTCAAAAAACTGATGTTAGGATGATGTAAGTTGAGGTGCAGTCCCCTCAACTTCTTCTGTTCTCCCATCCCCCTAAAACTAGCTCTAATGTGTCTCAGATGACCACTGCTGACAGCTGGGCTGATCAAGGTGACCAGCCCAGGGCATGGCTCACCCCGTCCTCACAGCCGTCTCTGCCTCTGAATCCAGGTGGTGGTGCAGGGCATTCCAGAGGTGTCCAGAGCTGTCATCCACATTGATGAGCAGAGTGGAAAGGAGAAGTACAAGCTTCTGGTGGAAGGTGATAACCTACGGGCGGTCATGGCCACGCACGGTGTGAAGGGCACCCGAACCACCTCCAATAACACCTATGAGGTACCGCTCAGCCCTTGGGGTTGCCTTAGGGTTAGGCTGTCTGCCCTGTGCCATCTGCAGGCCTTCCACTGGTTCCCACCATACTTCTCTGACCATCCCATTTGCCCCGGGTCTACAACTAAAAACCGTCCAGCAATCCATTTCTGGAAAATGGCACAGGGTTTGCTTAGAACCTGCAGGGCAGAGTAGGAAGTGGAGAGAATTTGCAGTGGCCTCCCAGAAGGGGCTGCTTCTGTTCATTCCTGGCGCTCTGTAGGTGGAGAAAACTCTGGGCATCGAGGCCGCCCGGACAACGATCATCAATGAAATCCAGTACACCATGGTGAACCACGGCATGAGCATTGACAGGAGACATGTGATGCTGCTCTCTGACCTCATGACCTACAAGGTGTGTGGGCAGGAGGCCCTCGGGTGCCTGGGTGTCCTGAAACTCACTCTTAGGAGAATAAACCTATGGAGTTTCTAAGACATGTAAAATATGCTGCTGTGAGGATCATCACAGCAGTTCATTAAGATGTGAACATTGCTCAAAAACCAAAGTATGTGCTGCCCAGGCTGGGTGTCCTGGTCAAATCCCAATAAGAGAATTACAACCTCATGACAAACTCACACCCAGTCAGCGAGTGAAGAGAGCTGAAACTTGGTTCCATTTTCATCCTGAATGTCATCCTAAAGCAAATTTAGCCATTGCCAAAGCCCAGAGAGTCCCGTGGCAAGTTGAGGTGTTTGTTTCTTATTAAACCCATCCATCTCCTGTAGCCATTCCCAGGAAAGAAGTTAACATGACCTGAAGTTGATTGGTTGTTTTGATTTTATTTCTCTCTCTCTTTTCCAAAAAAAACATATTTCCCTCTAGCTGTGCCTTAGGGCAGCATGTTTTCATAAGGCTTCCCTAGACAAGTCAATAGTGTATTACAGGATATTTAGAAACTAAGTGAGGGAAATGGCCCATTTCCTACCACCCTGAGGCTGTGAGTTTGAAGTCTTCCTCGAAGTCCTGCATCTATTCTGGCACAAGGTGGTGTGGGGGGACTTCTTTGAAGTCCATGTGCATCTGTTACTTTAGTTGCAGCAAACAGTGTGCATGCAGTTTTTGTTCTGACTTTGTTTAACATCACAAGTATTTTCCACCTTGTTTCATGGTATTAATAAGTATACTTTTTAAATTATGGCACAGTATTCCTTTGAATAGAATTACCTAAATTTAATTAATTCTCTTTATACTTGAGATTTTTAAATTCTTTTCATTTTTAGTGATTTGAGCCATAAGAACCCTCTTCAGAAGCACTCCCCTTTTTCAAAGTTAGTTTCTGGATTCTAGTTCTCAGTTGTTTATTCTTTGTTCTGATGGTATCTGGATGCAAGTGTAAGGTTCCATGTTGCCAGTGACTGACCACCTCAGTGGGACACAGAGGGCAGACATAGCTCCTCCGAGCCTTTCACACCGGAGGTTGGGCTGAGGTTGGGACTTGGCGGATTTTTGTTGATTTTATTGAAGGTGCACCGTGCTTTGGTTTTTTGCTTTTGTCAGTGGTGTGAGTACCACCGTGACTCTTTTTCCCTTGATGCAGGGTGAAGTCCTGGGCATCACTAGGTTTGGCCTGGCCAAGATGAAGGAGAGTGTGCTGATGCTGGCCTCCTTTGAGAAGACAGCTGACCATCTCTTTGATGCTGCCTACTTCGGGCAGAAGGACTCCGTGTGTGGTAGGTTTGATGTTTCTATGAACAGCATCAAAGGCCTTTACCATTTACAACTTAGACCGTGGCTGGGTTTCTAAGGGAATGAACAAAACTGAGTGGCAGAGCATTTATTTTTTGAAGAATAATGTCACAGATCATGGAATTGGAACGGCTGGATCTTTTATCTCCAAAGCCTGACTGACTGTAGCATCCTGCATCCCATTAAATCTGTTGGAAAGCCTCCCTCTGTCAGCACAGATGGTTTTTGGTCCAGGAAGAAAAGAGCAAGACCCTGGGCATGTAAGAATTTTTCTAGCCCTTGACTTTGTA